GGAAAGAATGAGGAGTGTGAGGATGGGACCCAGTCACAGGCAGTTCTTGGGTACCAGGGAGGCAGTGGGCAGGCAGGGACAGGAAATGATGCCCTTCTATGTGAGCTCTCCACATAACTCATCTAAGATCTCCTAAGACAACCCAGGAATCTCAGATCTTAGTACTCACTGGAGGGGCTTTGGCCTAGTTAAAATGAAATAATAAGCAAACACATATTAAACAAGATGTGTCCCATTAAACTCTGATTCAGCCCTGGAAAAGCCCTGCCCTCCACATACCATGGCCACTCTAGGAGAAAATGCCCGTTTTGTCTGGCCTAGGGCCTGGTCCTACCTTGTCTTAACAAGTGCAAGACTGCCACCTGGGGCTCCACAGAGAGCTTCTCTAAACTCCCCAGGTTTGAACTTGGTTATTTGAAGATTCCAGGGATTAAGACTTAAAAGAAACTAATTTCTCAAGCTAGGTATGGTGGCATGCAGAGGTAGAAAGATTTCAGAGCCTGAATAAGCTACACAACAAGACCTTCTCTGAAAAAATAAAATAACTTAAAATCTAATGGGGGAAACCCATTTTTCCCTGGGCTTGAAGAAGTCCCTAGAGTTCTTTTGTCTGCATCCAGGCTCTGAAAATATTACTTTCTGCCATAGCCCAAGTGTCATCTGGTTGGAGAGAGGAAGTTCCTGACCCCTAAAGCCCTGCCATTTAAAGATGTCCTAGAAAGCTTAAGTCACCTGTGCCAGAGGCTTTGAAACTTCAGCACTCCTGTAAACCAGCTGGAGAGGTGGCAGTTCTGACTGAGTGGACCCAGACTTTGTTGTCTAACTTTATGGTGATAACATGGTTGAGATTCAAGGAACATGCATTGAAAACCACGCTCCATGGTAGCCTCACAGCCACCTATTTATGAAATATATTATTTTGGCTTGTAAATAACAAGCTAAAGAGCTCAGAGACAATCTAGCTCTTGTCTTTCCCTGAAGGAATCCAGGCCAACCTTTCTAACTTATACTCTTGCCACCTTGCCCTCATACAGGTTCTTAAGGGACTCTGCTCTCCTGGGCTGTGGGTATAGCCTTCTGAAATATGTTAAAGATATTCAATCCTGTAAGGTCCAGGTCATGACGGAGTCACACAAAAACCTCCTGGCCCCACAGGCAGACAGAAAACAAATGCTGGCCATAGAAGTTGCAGGCTCAGTTGCCACTTCCCCAGTAGCTCATTTAACCTAATATATGCAAAGAATTAATTTTTGAAGATGTCTATATCAAATTCCTAGCAAAATAATTGCTTCATTTTCTTTACTGAATCTTCATGATTGGTATACATTGGGTATAGCACACCTCAGTTTGGACTAGTAAGTGAAATATTCAACAGTCACATAGGGCTAATGGTGATCCTATTAGTCAGTGAGAACACCAAAGTCTTTCCTGAGACTCCCCACTGCCTTTTTTTATGTTATCCCTAGAGCATAGCACTTTGGTCTTATAGCTCATGTACAGCTTAAAGAGGTAGTTGTGTTTTAATGCTATTTGTTTTTATTCTACTGTGTACTACTAGCCTGTATGGAGGGTCAGATCAACAAGTGCTTGCTAATGGAACTAAGTGAAACAAAAATTATGTGAATGAAGGTAGGGACAGGGAAGATCCATGAGAACTTCTTACTTTAAGGGTCTCCTCTCAGTCACTGTGACAGCAGTTCCTCTGATTTGTGTCTGGCTAGTAGATAATAAAGAATAATGCAAGTTCTCAAGCCCACCCTCTTTTTAAGTTTCCTGTTTCACTTTACTCTGTCTTTTAAAAAAATCCCACCAGGAGGGCCCAGGAAACAGGAAAAATAGTTTTGCTGTTGGTTTCATGTTTGGAGAAGAACAGGGTTTTACTATCTCCATGGCACTTGGCATGAAAGTGGGCTTTGTTGCTGGAGACACTGCTTTCATTCAGGGCCCCCTTTCCCAGCTGCTGAGAGCCGGGCTGTGTTTTGACTGATGGGCCGAATGCAATGCAGACAGTTGTTTTAATTTCCAGCCAGATGCAGACATCACTCATAAGAAGCCCAAAACCCAAGAAAGGGAATGGGCATGGGACTGCTGCTCTTAGACCCTGCAGAGTAGACTGGAAGGGGCCAACAGAAGCCTACTGGGCACTAAGGTGCCAAATATCCTGAGAGACTGAGAATCATCAGGCCTAGGCTTGGAACCCATTTCTCCAGGAGGCATCTGACAGAAAGGTGCTTCTTGTAGGTATTGTTGGCTGTGAGCAGGTTTCAAGGACTATTCTGGATGTTGTCTTTCAACTGGCAAATGTATACTTCTCAGTAGGCAAAGCATTCACTGTACAAGCATGAGTATTTGAGATCAGATCCCTATAATCTACATTAAGTTTGGCTAGGTAGCATGATTTAGAATCCTATTGCTCCTATAGCAAGGTGAGAGGGGGTACCAGGAGAATCCCCAGAAGCTCACAGGCCAGCTAACTTGTTATGTATCTCAGTGCACAACAAGAGACCCTGCTGCAAACAAAATGGGAGGCAAAGACTGACACCTGAATTATCTTCTGACTACATGTGCAACATGGCAAATGCATGCCTGCATTTACACACACACACACACACACACACACACACACACACACCACACCACACCACACCACACCACACCACACCACACCACACCACACCACATACATACATACATACATACATACATACATACATACAGATAAAATTGTTTTTGGGTTGTTTTGGTTTATGTTTCAAGAGAAGGTTTCTGTATAGACCAGGCTGTCCTAGAACTGACACTATACACCAGCTTGGTCTCAAATTCACAGAGCTCTAACTGCCTCTGCCTGATTAAACTTTTTATTTTTTAAAGAAACCACAGTCTCAAAGAAGTTGTGAGTAAAGTATGAGGGATAAAATTCTTGGATATCCAAACTGAAAGAGACCACAGCCTCCCCTCAGGAAAGTCACTTTCATAACCTCCCAGAGGAATATCACCCTTCCAGCCAGCCATCCACATGATGGGTGTATTTTAGACAAAATGAGTATTGAAAAGCAGACAGTTCTGATTTTCTTATGTCAAGCCTTCTCATTCTGATACTGTGAGTATGTTTTGGTAGTCCATAATATCACTAGCCTCTTTACCTATTACATCACCCTATTAGGTCACACGGGGCTGATTTAGAATCAACTCAAACCCTCAGATACTATGCTTGAAGCTTTTAAACCAGTGATTCCCCAACCTACATTTAAAGTGTCTACTATTTAAGCCAGGCTTTGAGATTTTTTGCTTGCTTATTTCCTTACTGAAGAGATATTTGATTTTAAGACTGAGCATGTCACTTAGTTGTATTGTTATGGTGAGAAAAGGAAGTTATACTGTCTCTCCCTGCCTACAAGTTTAAGTTGGAATGAACTTTTCTGTGACTACTTTTGCCCATGATAATCCTTCAGTTTAGAAAGTCTTTTGGGTCTCTCCATCTGATGATTTCTCTTTTCATCACCCTCTTCTTTCTTCTTCTCTTCTTTCTCCCCTTCCTCTTCCTCCTACTATTCCTTTTATTTTTATAAGACTGAGTCTTACTTTGTAGCCTAGGTTGGCATTCACTAAGTGGCCCAGGCTAGGTAACTTGTAGATAATACTCCTACCTCAGCTCCCACTCAACACTCAAGTGCTAGAATTCCAGGCATGTATTAACATGTACAGCTGGATACATTTTTATCCTTGAAGACCTGCCCTTAAACTGTCTCCATCTTCCTGACAGGTTAGCCTGAGCTCCCAAGGGATTTAACACTCACACCAATCAATCCTGGGTTCCAATGCAAATATCAGCTAGGGGCTGCCACTTCCATGGGAATGTTGGGCTCTGCTCTGGCTGAATCTGTGCCATTTGTGGTAGATTTTCTGTTGCTGAACATCTAGGCCACTGCAGATCTGATGTCCAGTAATCTGATGTTCACTGAATTTACCATGTCACAATCCATTCTGACTCTCTGGGAAGGATTTTATGAACATGTTCTGAACACATCTATGTCTCCTGCCAGTGGCAGAACATTCTGTCATTGGACTGAGTGTCATGTTTTCACCTAGGCTCACACTTCTAGTAGGTGATAGTCCTCTATGGCCCAGCAAATGAGCTTGTATTTCCAAACCAGCATGCATTTTTGCAACTCAGAAGCCTTTTATCCAGCCAACAACAGACACCTAAGATATGTCAAATGGAAAACTTTGGTCCTCTATCCCTTTTGCTTGGCCTTTATTGTCACATGTGCTGGGCAGGGGCAGGAGAGTGGTGTCCACACACACCCAGCTCAGATCCTTGCCAAGCCCCTCCAGAAAACCAGGAGGAGTTTCAAAAGCTGTGCTTTACTGACTGAGAAGGGGAGAAGGAGGGAAATTGATCTGCAAATTCCCACTAGCCAGACAAAGCAGAGTCAAACAGGCAGCACTTCTCTGTGGAGGTTCCCATTTTGCCAGACTTTCAAAGAATGGGAGATTTACTAGTGAAACTGAATGAAGACTTCAGAGAATGAGATAATTGGATCCAGGTGGTACACTTGGTTGGCTATAAAGTGAGTGCCAGTGCCATGCTATGAATATTATTTGATGGGAAAAGTTTCTCCCCACACCCCAAATGTACTATGCAGGAAGGATGTCTCCTCAGCCCAAGCCCAGCTGAAAGCTCTTCAGAGATGAGTTTGTGCCACTCAATAGCCTTCCATCAGAGTCAACCATTTTTGACACTTGCCAGGGACTTGCTGGGCTCTCAAAAGGACAGTGGTGGAAAGAAACAACAGGCTAGAGGACCTCCTTTCTACCAATGATAAAATCAGAGTCCTGAGCCACCATTCAGACACTTTCTGTTTAGGGTTAACCTCTTCAGACTCAGCCCACAATGAGATGGGAACAACTCAGGGACTGTGAATAAAGGAGAGTTTTGAAACACACCTTCAAGTTGTCACAACCTGACCTTCCCATGTTCCCTTTCCTCTCTCTGCCAGGTCACCAGGGTCCCTGTTGAGTCATGTGAACAGTACACAACTTGTGGAGAGTGTCTAAGCTCAGGTGATCCTCACTGTGGCTGGTGTGCCCTGCATAACATGTAAGTTTGTGGTGTTCCAGGGTGGTCCTAACAAGCAGAAACTGGGGAAGGGAGGTGTCCTGGTATGATGGACTGGACAGTAGAGGAATTTCCCTCTTTTGAACAGTAGAGATTATAAACTAGACACAATGTGGGAGGTAGGAAGAGGCCACACAGTTTGCTTCCTGAATTCTGAATTCAGTCCTTTGCTCATCTTCTCAGTCTCTTTGAAACCACATGATTATGTTCTCATATCATTTTGAGAAATCACACACAGGGCAACTGTAGAATCCCTAAAATTTCCAAAAGCCTCTGGAAATGACCGGACAAAAAGATAGGATAAGATGGTAGAGCATCAGAACTTGGAATTTGCACTCCAGCTAGCTGCTGTGTGTCCCTAGGGGGGTCCCCTGACAACAGGGAATGTGCCTATTTCACAGGTGAATAGTGAAGCCTAAATGAAATAATAAGTGCTTTGGAAATAAAGAAGAGGCAACACAAATCAAAATAATTATTAAGGACTCTGGTACCCTTGGGAGGACCCTTCTGGCCTCATTATTTCATGATTCCGAGAAATCTGCATTGCATCCAACTGGCCTCAGATCCCTATTCAAGATACATCCACACCATTGAACAACAGCTCAATAGAAATGCAAAATCACACTTAAACTTCCTAATTCGAAATGCCCAGAGGAAGAGAAAAGGGTGAAAGCCCTAAAGCAGGGGCCTGGCTAGGGACTCTGTTACCCAATAGTGTTGGAAACTCCTTGGCGCCAAGCCAGCTACCAAAGCATCTCTATGAAATGTGCTGGGTTTGGGGTGGAGGCGGAGGCAGAGGGCCAGAGTTCAGGGTCCTGCACAATAGCTCTTGGCTTCCAGCCTCTGCAGCAGGTGTTGGGAGGGCTCTGGAGCAAGGGAGGGAGGCTTCGCAGATGCAAAATCTGGACTGGATTTGAGCTCACTGACAAAGGATTGAGTCCCTGCTTGGGTTTTGGAGGAATGAAATTTCTCAAAAAGTTTATGAAAGTGACCTCAACAAAACCTGGACATTAAGTTTCTATCAAGATGGTAGAGCTAGCCACTCTATAAGAGGAATGGAAAAGCCAGTTAATTTGTGTGCCTTCAGTGAGGCTGACCCAACAATCTGCATGTTCTTTCTCTGAGGAATTTGACAGTTCACTCATGGCTCTGTGGGAGGGTCCCAGGCTTTATGCTCTCTATAGCATCTACCTCCTGTCCCATCACTCCCTGCCTTGCTCTCCAGTCTTAAGTGCCTGTAATATTCTGTATATACAGAAAGAACACAATAGAATTACAGATTGCGGTTATTATTTATCCACAGCAAGAGCACTGCTTTTACCACTTGTATCAGTACCTATGAAGGGATCAATAATGACCCGCATCTCTCAGTTACCCTAGAACACTTCATCCTCCTTCTGGTCCAGGGTAGCTCTGTCTTCAGAATGACAGAGCCTGGTTAAGACAGCCCAGATTTCCTCTGCCCACTGAATTCCTAACTTGTCTTCAGAAAATCTTCCCCATCTATCTGGGTCCACACTTTCTAGCCATTCTACCTACCAAGTTTGCATGGGACAGGAGCTGTACCTTTCATATTCAGGTTTCTTGTTACCTGGTATTCTCATCTTCAACAGATCCTCTTTTCTTCCCACCTACTTTCCAGACTGCCCAGCTTGCAGGGCAGTAAGGACCCAAAAACTTCAGCCCCAAGTCTGAAAGCCAGCCTCTTCTAAAGAAATTGAGATGGTTGATGTATAGGTCTGATGACCAAGAGCCTCTGGCTCCCAGTGGAATTGAGACCCTCCTGTCTCTTCTGTATGACTTGCTCCTGCAAGTGTGTTATTGTCTCCCAGACGATTTTTATCTCTGTTAAGGTTGTTGCCATAAATAGTATGCTTAAAAAAAAAAAGATAAAAAAGAGCCATTTCAGTGAGTCAATGAGATAAGGGCTGTAGTCAAGAGCTTACTTTAAAGTGATCATAAGGATTCACTTAAAACTCCATGATTTTTTTTTTATTTTTGACAGCATTCATATTTGGGTCCATTATGTGCTTAAAAAGGAAGAAGGGAGGGGTTTGGGGAGTCAGGGTAGGAATTACTTCTTGACTATGGATTATAGTAGTGATATGTCCTGTTTGGATATTTAGTTTAGAGCAGCACCAACCCTGAGCCTGCTCCATAAAACAGCAGTTGGTAGCCCCAAGCTTCTGAGTTACAGACCTGCCATCATGGAATGAGGAGCCTGGAGCCAGAGATGAAGTTGTCAGGAGAAATAGCCACGTGTGCTTTCAGACAGGGGCAGCCCTAGACACATGCTTTGTCTGTCTTTTTGACTTAAGGCATTATTTCATGACACAAACATTTATTTAAAATATACCTTGTGACAGAATATTTTGCTGAATAAAACATGGTATCTCCCTTTAAAGAGCCATTAATCCAGCCAAAGATCACATGCAACCTGTCTCATAGTTAAGACTCTCTCCTGCTTGCTAACACCTGGAGGGAGTGTGATGATGTTATTAATCATTGTTATGAATATCAGTATCTCAAGGGCTAGCACAGGGAGGGATACAGTTACCGAATACCAGGCTGCAAGTATTAAAGTAGTCTTACAGAGTAGAGAAAGATTAAGTAACTTGTCCAGTGGGATCTAGCTTGCAGGTAACAAGCCTGGTATTAGAGCCTAACATTCTAGCTGCACAGTTCATGTTCATAGCCCTACTTCTCAAGTACCACTTCTTATTTGAGCATCCCATAGTAGTAGTATTCTTTATACCTAACCAGCATCCAGGTTGGAAATTAATACCTCTTCCTTCATATATCTTCTGCTTTGTGTGATAGTGGACACCTGAGAATACAGTGAAAGTCATCACAAGGCAATAGGCTACAGCGCTGGGGCAGCAAATCTTTCTTACCCAGGGATAGTGGAGCCATGACCTCTTATGAGTCTGTGTTCATATAGGTGCTCCCGAAGGGACAAATGCCAACGGGCCTGGGAAGTAAATCGATTTGCTGCCAGTATCAGCCAATGCATGAGCCTTGAGGTTCACCCCAGCAGCATCTCTGTGTCAGATCACAGCCGACGGGTGAGTATGCAGCAGGCAGGACGGGACACAGAACACTCTTCTTCAATACCTGCACATACTAATCAGAATTTCAGTATTCAAAAAAAATAAAAAACCAAAAGAGCAAAAACCCTATGGTAATTTCTATAGTAAAAAAGGTACAGTCACCTCACACTGCAAATTTATTATCCACACATCTGTTTTGCAAATCTGAATTTTGCATTTAGCAACAACAAAAAAATCTATGATATAATACAATACCTAACAGCACATTCTTAGGACATAGTATGATTTCAGTCTTCTGTTTGTTAATTATTCAAGAAAGCCTTAGCTTGCCTTTGTGTTTGGTGGGCAAGAGAGACATTAAAGAAAGACTGAGACTTGTTCAAAGTATAAACTAAAAGAGAATATTAAACATAATAAAAATAGCCCTCAGACACCTGTCAAGGTGCAACCCAAAAATATTCTATGTCCTTAGGCCCTGACTGCAATTTCATTGTGAAGGTTTTATGAGCATTCATGAATTTTAGTTAGTTAATGAACCTTCCATGGTTTCAGTTCATTCATACCCACCAGGACGTTTGGGCTCCAGTGATGCTAATGAAACAATCAGGGAGGTTGTGCCTATTTGTGGGAGCTGAGGACAAACTCATTGAAAAGGAGCCTGAATTCAGAACACATTTTCCAACTTCTAAAAGTTTTTTTTTTTTTTAACCACTAAAATGAGGCTCTGCAAGCTTAGCCAGGAAATCACTGTTCTAGATGGAGTCCTTAGGTAGTATACATTATTTAGCGATCAGTGAACCTTCTTTGATCCCCTGTGTGTCTTGTGAGCCTACTGCCACACACCAGGGCACTGCTGGAAAGTAGAAAGCACAGAGGGAATAGAGGAGCAGAAGCTCTGGAGAACACTGCTTCCAAATAAATGGGTGAAAGAATCTGTTGTCTTCTACCAGCTACCAGCCTGGTTCCTGACCAACCTCCATCCTGATGAAGCTTATTTTCCCAGAATCCCAAGCAAAGGCCTGTGTTAAAGTCCCAAGCTTAGGACTCACTTGCAGGTTCCTATGTGCATTGTGATTGGTTTCCATATCAGATGGAGCAGTGTCGGGGATGAATATTAAGACAAGTCCCCTTACTTCCTTGAACACCAAGTGATTTCTTATGCTAAACAAGATTGACAAATTAACAATAATGATCTTTATGAAAACCATTGACCCCACACACCATACAACTGTTTGTTGTTGTCTAAATGTTCAGCATCGAAAAATGGACAAACACTAGACCAATCCTCTTCTCTTATAGAGCAGTAGGTCCTAGCAGGGAGCCTTGCCTGGGGCCTGGTTCTCCTGAGCTCTTGCTTCTCCCACAGCTCAGCCTGGTTGTGAATGATGCCCCCAACCTTTCTGAGGGTATCGCATGTGCCTTTGGGAACTTGACTGAGGTGGAAGGACAGGTGTCTGGGAGCCAAGTCATCTGCATCTCACCCGGGCCCAAGGATGTCCCTGTTATCCCTCTGGATCAAGGTAAGGATTGTGTACCAAAAGAGCCATGGATGCCATAGTGAGCATGGGAGTCACAAATACAGACATGAAGCAAGCTACCTTAACAGTCTTAATGTACCAGATGCTAATATTGGCTTGTGTAACTTATTTGAGTTTGAAATCACTGTGCTATGCCCTAAGTGGGATTCAAGGAGGAAAATGCTCATTCTTCCTAGGTTGAGAATGCATAATGTGCACTGTGCCCACTTCCTTCTAGGAACAGGTGAGACTCAGGCAATGGATTGCACTGAGCTCTCTCCAACAAACTTGGCTTGAAGGGCTCTGAGCTAATAATCTGAAATTCTTTCAGTAATTGGATATTCCCAACCAAGTCAAGGGACTCATGGAATCTATTACGAGGGATAGACTGGTAGGGATTCTCAGGACCAAAGCAGGTTTGGGCAGGCTTTCTCCACGGTCTATACTCTTGGGTAGCACTATAACATGGTCTTCCCCAGGTCCAGTGAACCCCAGGTTCTCACTCTCTCCTCTCTTGCAGACTGGTTTGGCCTAGAGCTGCAGCTGAGATCCAAGGAGACAGGAAAGATCTTTGTCAGCACCGAGTTCAAATTCTATAACTGCAGTGCCCACCAACTGTAAGCATGCCTCAGAAGGAGCCTTACCTGGGTCTGGATATGACTATAGGGTTGCATTTCCTCCCTCTAGCACAAGGGCAAGACTTGTGCAGTAATTACACTGAAGTCTCTCTAGGGGCAGTCATTCACCACAGTCCCTCATCTCATTCCTTTGGCCCCACCCCAGTACACTCTACCCCCAGTAAAGCAGAAAGGGGTTCTGACCTAGGAGTTGTAAGAAGAGGTCTTCACTTTAGCCATTTGGCAGTGGCTTTGATGGCAGAGACTAACAGTGAAGTGTGGAGGTGTCCTTATGCCCACGTAAAGAAGGAAGACAGACACAAGGACAGCAGCCTCTCTCAGCACCCAGTGAGAGGACCTCAGCTATAAGAGGCAGAAAAGGTGTTAACTTCAGTGTACAGCATATCCCTCCTCAGTATATATTATGAGTAGAACAGAACAAGAGGAACAAGAGGTGAGAATGGTCAGAGGCAACTAAAGCAGAACGATGTAAAAATGACCACTACTCACTATATTTTAAACCCAGATAACCTTCTTGGGAATTGCAGGCTTCTTGGAGGGAGGACTTGTCAGCCTTCACAATCCAAGACAGTGCTAACAGAATCTGTTGTTTGTGAGAGTACCTGTATCACCATGGCAATCCAGTGTGATGTCACCACATCCAGTGATGGATTTCTATGGCAAGGAAGATATTGTCACAGACAGCAAGTTTTAGCAGAAAAAAAAAGTCCCCTTGACAGTCAAGATACTGTTTTATTGCTCGATGTTGTTTTACCCCTCTCTACTCCTGGAATTCTATTAAAAATCACAGTATCAGGTTCAGTTCCCTCATTTTAATATGGTAAGCTGAGACTTATACGTGCCACAATGCCAGTGACAAAATCAGCCAGTGGAAGAGCCAGGTTAGCACCCAACAAACACCACTTCCTTCACCCTGGTTGATATTCACCTGTTGAATCATATGATGTTATCAAGAATCTATCAGTAATGAAGTACATGAAATAGCATTGACTCAAACTCAGAAACAAAGTGATTTTAGATATGACTGGTCTTAGGGTGTGCATGACTAGCAAAGATTATTTTCTGGGGTGTATATGGACCACATCATCTCATATACCTCACACCTCACACTTGAGAACCCTGGATGGAAGTCCCTACCATCTAGACTTAGTAAGAACCCCACCAGGTGGCGCCAGAGTGCAGACCTATTTCTGTTCTGAACAGCTTGGTACAGTTCTGAAGGGCAGAGCTAAGTTGTTATATAAAGAAGCAGAGGAGGAAGGCCAGAACTCTAATTATGTTTCCATCACAGTGGTTTGTGTGCACACACACAGAGCCTCCAGGGGATCCCAAGGAGGAAGAAGTGCTCCCTCTGGAAAGAACATTCATGCCACCGGCATAACTCTGTGTGAGGAGAGTCACTAGTGACATTGGGCAAAGTTACCATTTAATGCTGTAACATTCACAAGCTTGGTAACATAGCTGCTGTGAACCAAATCACTAATACTCAAATGTTATTTCAAGAGGTTGAAATAACAGGTGATTTAACTTCAAAATATTTATCACATTTAGCATTATCCTTTCCAAAAACCATTTCCTATATATTACCTCACTTGACATCAAACAGCCTTGTGGACTACACAGGAATGTTTTTTTTCAGACAGATGAAGAAACTTTAATGCATAAAGTGAGTGACTTACTCAGAGTGACTCCAATGTTGACAGCTAAAGCAAGACTATATTCAGATCTGCCTAATTTCTGCTTCTGTGTTCTTACAGCTACTCTGACTGATAAGCAATGGTGTGCTGGCATTAACTATCAGCAATCAGATTTTTTAAAATATAATATGTAGTATTTACCAATTTCTGTAATTTAAATGCTTCTACTGTCGTCAGTTTCAGTCCATCATACTGAAATTCTATCTTGCAAAATTCTTGAAAATATGAACTAGCACACTACTGTTTTCAGGTTAAATCATTCCCACTGAAGTTCCAGTTTATTCCTAATTGTCTTGCCCCATGAACATCTCAGATGCAGAATCCACAATTCTCAGTCCTACAATATATTCCACTAATTTACTCTTCCAAGAGTGAGATGAAGATATAAGGATAACAGTCTTCTTTCATGACAGGCCTGCATGGCTTTCCCTCTTACTGTCTCCTCTTTGCAGGTGTCTGTCCTGTGTCAACAGCGCCTTCCGCTGCCATTGGTGCAAGTACCGAAACCTCTGTACACATGATCCCACCACCTGTTCCTTCCAGGAAGGCAGAATCAATGTTTCAGAGGTAAGAAGGTTCTCTATGGCATGACAACAATGCCAGAAAATCATCCCGTTTGCATTGTAGATGGTCTACCCATCTTTTGTTCTGGCCTATCTTGGTCACCTTATCAGTGATTTTTCATATTATAAGTAAATGATATTATAAAGCTTAAGAAAGTAGCAACCAGTGGCCACCCAACAGAGGCTATAACTGCTAGACTGCTAAGATTGCAATCAAGTGTGCAAAGGTGACTGTTAGTTGAAACTAAAAGCTCAGAGGAAGAATATTCAATAAATAGACTCCATGCTCCAAGAGAGTATAATGAATGCTGTCTATTCTTTGAGCCTAGTCCTTTCCTTGGCTGTAGACTTACTGTGCTTCAATAGAACATTCACTCTCAACCATTTTTTTCATGCCAACTTTTCTTCCAACTCTAAAATTCAATGATTCTTTGACTCTGATGTATTACTAGGTGGGTGGCCTTGGAGACAGAGAGAAATCCAGCTAGTAAAAAACACCAAGCATTGCCAAATGTCCTATTATATTATCTAGTTGAAGCTCCTTCCCCAAAGTCTGAACCAACTTATCGTTGACACAGTGAAATATCATGTTGTTCATCTTTATTGTGACTATCCCACTTAGCAATTATTCACTAAGGTTGGTTTTCTCACATTTTCCTGAATATGCTTCAGCTCCATGAAGCCTATGTCTTCAATTTCCCTACTTTCATGCCCAAGAGTTAGGACTAGACAATTAAGACCTTGTACACACACACACACACACACACACACACACACACACACACACACACACACAAAGAGAGAGAGAGAGAGAGAGAGAGAGAGAGAGAGATTTTAGTATTTTAGAAAAACTTGCAGGTATTAATGAGTGACCATGGAGTTTTCATAGACTGCTGAAGAATTTCTAGATATATCTCCCTCCTGCATTGAGCTATAAGCTGCTTAAAAAAGCAAGAATAATATCTTACCTTTAAATCCTAATCCTTTACCAGTGAACATTTGTAGCATGCACACACAGGGAAAATGGTGAACAGTGAATGTCCAAGGGATGTTGACTGAGCCACCTGTCAATGACATTTTTTGAATGAATTCCTTGGGTTTCCCAGTCTTCACAGTTGTGCTGGTTGCTTCTACTGCTAAACATAAAATAGACCTTGAAAAATTTTGGAAACAGACACACCTGACATTCAACAATTCACTCTTTCTGAAATGACATGTATTATATTCAGTGAGAAAGTAAAAATGCTCAGTATTAAGAGGAACAGATTGATGGCCCTATAACTAGTTTTAAAGACAGACCCACCCATAGCTGCCTCAGAATGATAGAACCAGGTACCCAGTCCCTGGAACAATCTAAAACAGATCCTTTTCTAGTCATCAGGCATGCTGGAATGCCACACTGATCTTAATGGATACTGGAAATTAATTCCAGGCCTGGGATTCTGTGGGAGTTTGAAACTAGTTTCCTTGGAGGTGGGGGTGTAATTGCTGAAGGTATGGGGTAGAGGTTAACATAACCTGAGTGGCAATGAAAGAATGGCCATGGGAACCAAGCCACTACAGAAGCAGTAGGTTAGCATCCTCTGTCTCAGAAATGGACCTTTACTGTGGCTACTGAAGTTCTAGAGTTCCTTCATATACTGGAAGAGAAAACTGGGAACCCAGGGAGGGGCTGGTGCAGATCAGGACAAAGAGCTACTCTGTATCTGTGAAGGCCACACTAGCAGGCAAATAGAAATCCAGAGCCCAGCCTGAGGGTGACCTACAGCTGGAACAAGGGCAAGCGGATTGTCACAGGGAGCAAGGCAAATAAACTATGGTGGATAGAACTGAGAGCTGGGCCCCAGAGGGCTAATTGGAAGCAGGTCCAGGCCCTCTTTCACCATGAGGAACCACTGAAGCATTACTGCTCTTGGGCAGCAAGTGAGAGATTTGAAAGTTCCAGAGACTGTCTCCCTGTTACTCGGGATTCAGTGATCACCAAAAGATCTTGGGAGCAAACCCAGGGCCTTCCATCATCGGTTCAGTCTAATTTTCCCTCTTTGGTGTCTGTGCCTTGGGTGGGAAAGTAGCTTATTTCTTGTCCCCTTTATCTCCCCACCTCTGCACCAGATTGTGTGCTCTCTTGTCCTCATGCATACTGGCTACTGGCACAGCACCAGGACCAAATAAAGGATGTGAGGGAAGCCCAGAATCTATCCTGCTGGCTTGACTCAGCAAAGGGCAGTTTCCCAATGCGGTAGCTAGGACCACTTCTCAAAGTCCTAAAATACAACTGAATCTTTTTATAACACATCCCTTCCTGGCCAATGTCTTCCAGGATTAGCTTTTCTTCTGTTCAAAGCTCTTAAGGGACCCTACTCCCCAAATTTTAAAGAATAACCAAAGTGCATGTGTTTGGCTTGAGTAAAGTTGTTTTAGGGGCTGTAAATCCCTTATATCTTTTTTTCCCCAAATTCCATGAAGCCCCTTCTCCAACGTCAAATAAAAATTTCATGTCTGTATACTTGGTAGAAGCAATGTATCACTGAGTAGCACTGCCAATTAGCACCAACGATTAGCAGCACTGCAATGGTCACGCCTCATGTGCTCATAGTTTTGCACCTGTGGCACAATTCTCAATGTGCCTTACCAAGACTGTGCCATTAGCATCACCTGTAAATTTTCTAGAAATTCAAATTCTTGGGTGCTACCACAGATGAAGCTGAAGATTGAGAATCATTGATAGATGGCATTTCAGTTGATTCTCTAAGCTGAATGTAGTTTCCCATAACTCGTATTTGACATCTGTAGTAACCAGAATGCCAACAATTTAGGGGTTTTTCCCATGGCTATGAAGAAGTCAGCATGAAGAAAAAAATGACTAGTTTGCACTGTCAGAAAACCAGGGCCTATGAGCATGTTGGTCTCCATAGCTGCAGGTAATGCTTGCAAGTTTGACTTTGATCTGACCCCTTGCTCTTGGCCATGAGGGTTCAGTTGTGGCCGAAGCAACACAAATCTATCTCCACAGAAGAAAATACTTCCTATGAAAGGGTCAGAAGGGCCATTTTCAGAGGTTATTCTACCCACATCCTTCCAGAAGCTTTGGGGCCACATCTATGCTTGGGCCTGACAAGGAATAACTGATAAGCTGAGCCATAGCACATGCAATTCTGAAACAGGAATATAGTAGCTTACATCTAGTGGGTATTTTTCATGTTTGTATCACCTTGTTTGTGAATAAATTTTGTTTAGTCTCTACTATTAAGCTAATTCTGTTACAGATAAAACTGGGGCTCAGTATTCCTCAGATGGTTGGTCTAACAAATGTAGATGTCAGAACTCAATCCAACATGGCTTTGAATAGGCTTGAATATCTTGATTCTGCCACATATGTACATATACAAGAAATACACAGTAATCATATTAACAGTTGTTAATGCAGACTATTACCACACAACCATTGCATACCCTCTTCCATTTAATCTAGCTGGATATTACTAACACCATTTTGTACACGATGAAGCAGAACTTCATCAGGCCATTTCTCAAGCCCTTTGAAGGTGTTCAGCTTCATCTTCTCTATGCCCTCCCACACTTAGAGCTCACAGCTTTCTGACTGCCTAAACCTCTATCCTTGCAACACAATGTTAATAGGTAGTGTGTGCAGGAATATGTACAGCTATCATCCTTGAAAGCTCATCTCCCTCCACAGCTGATACAGGCCTGTTGAGATGTAGATACATAAATATCTTCTTTACACCCATTCCAAGGGAACGATAGAACCAAATAAATCTTATTAGCTTCTCAGGATGCTGGCTGCTCTCACTCGTTGAAGTCCAGAGGGTGAAGATAATGCGTTTCTACGTGGAAGAAGTCCTTTTGAGGACTAACAGGTCCCCAACACAAAACCAGGGGGATCCCAACCCAACTAAGTGGACAGCAAGGCTGTGGTGCTGCTTATTTCACTTCCATTTAAACTGAGACCCCTGCTTTCTATCCTAGACATAGAAGAAAAGTCCTTTTCTATCTGACCACAGGGTAACTGCCAAATAAGCAAAACCCAATGCATCTTTTTGCTACTAGGCCACCCTTGAGCATGTTTAGGCATTAAGGGAAGAGCCTATTCATCTTTAAAACTAATTTTAAGATACCTAAAAGAGCATGGGTAAGTTTTCTAAAATTCTATTATTTGAAAAAAAATGTAACTTATAAATAACTCCTGCCAACCTCTTAGCTGGAAGCATATTGAGTATATTCAGTTATCCCTCCACAGTCATAGAGGACAGTGACTGGTTCCAGAACCCTTAAAAATGCCAACTGCCTTTCTGTTAAACCATGTGATATTTTCATAAAACCATACACATTCTGTTCTGTATCTTAAATGATCTTTAGATTACTCAGAATATATTACTCTGTGTCAATGCTCTATGAATAGCTGCTTTCTTTATTTGGGAAATAATCACAATGGGTATCATATACATGTGTAACTTTTATTTTTTCAAATTTCTTTGGTCTTTGGCTAATGGTATTCATGGATACTGAGGGACAGTTATGGGAATTTTTTTTTTGTCATCTCTCTCTCTGCCTACACACACACATAGCATTATACATCAGACTTACTTCTATCATAAATTCTAACCTGTTAGATTCTGGCTAGATTTTTAGCTGCTGAGTGGATGGTATTCTTTTCAGTGGGATACCTGGGTTTCCTGTCTATAAATCTGTGAAAGACTCTGTCAAAAGTACCTGCAGGGGATGAAAGTAAAAGAGCAGTAAAGAGCAGGTTTATGAGTCAACAGCTTGAGCAACTGGCACCTGAACTGGGACCCATCTGTCCTATGCAGTGACTGGCAGGCAGGAGTGGCCCAGCTTCTGCCAGAAGTCTTTCTATTCTTCCCAGACAGGGCTCCCCAGGCTCCAGCTCTGTGTGAATGGTCATACTACTCATTAGATAAGGCTGTGCCTTTTGGTAATTATGAAGCTCCAGAAACCATGACCATCTGTAGTCCTAGCTTGGGAATCAAATTGCTTCTCAAGTCTCCCTTATTTCTTACCAGCCTCCAAAGTTGGGATTAAAATGAAATTACAAAATTCTTTTGTCTATTATTTTATTTTCTTCTTTGCATTCACCCTACTGTCCTACTGCAAACAATAACTAAATATCCACTACACATCTGACACAAGATGAAGACTTGGAATGTGGGGTGGAAAGGTTCAGGCTTAGTCCTTGCGAAGATCACAGCCCAGCAAGAAAAACAAGTCCACAGGAATTGTGGCTCCACAGATTCAGTGGTGCAGTACCTAGCATTCTACCTGAAGCCATGGCTGGTAAGGGTCAGGACAGCCTTCCTGAGACAAGTTGGAAGGTTGGGCATTTGATGATCAGCTATCTGATTAAGTTGAGGTAGAGCAGAGGGCAGGAAGAATATGGCACTGGTAGGTAGAAGTTAGCTTTTGATAGGAAGTAAAGCATGTACAAAGGCCCAGGTTTGGTGTCAGTATGAGAAATGGCACCACAGAACTATGTGTTCAGTATGTTTAGAACTTGATGTGCAAGAACAAATATGTTTAGAAGCAAGTAGAGACCACAGTATGATAGATTTGCAGCTTGGATCTGGAAAAAAAAAAAAAAAAAAGAAGGGACTTGTGTGCCCACACAAAGCTGACTGGTTCTGTAGATCTTCAGTAGAGATTACAATTGTTCAACAGCCTATATTAAGTAAGGCTTCTAACAGGGGTAGCTTCTGCCATCCAGAGTCTTCTTTGAGACCATCCATAACTTGTAGAAAGTTCAGCAGTTTTGGTATTCAGGCAGCCAATACCAGCAGTACCCTTTGCAGGCCTTGTAGCCACATAAGCCCCAACATGTTCCCAAAGTCCATCTAGGAACTAATGTCCAAAGGACAGGGAAGGTGGAGCCTCCTTCATTAACTCCCTATCTGATCCCTGGATATTAGACATGTTTCCCCATGAAGAGTTTTCACATTCCCCCTGTAGGGGTCAGAGAAGGCAACAAGACTCAGGTCTTTCCTGTAGGGAGGAAGAAGTCAACAATCCGTGGTGTTGGACCTCTTCAAACACAGGAGGAAAATTGATCTCTCTTCCTCGTTTCTCTCTCTTATATCCTTCTCATGGCCCCTCCCTACTATGCTTCCCTGTGTGGGTTTTGTTTTCCAAAGCAGCATAGCATTCACACATGGTAATAAAATGAGATAAAAAGCCAATGCAAATATTTAGAGCATATCTGGGGGGTTGGGGTGGGGTACTTGATTCCTCCTCCTGGAAAGCCTGGCTCAGCTGGAACTGAAAAGCTAAAGCTGTAGTAGATATGGGCTGCCTCAGGCTTTAGACAATATAAAGGGCCAAGGGGCTAGGAGGGAACCAGATAAAACCAGTGGTGGGGTGGGAGCTGGGGACATGAATCCAAGGAGGCTCTTTCACTTAGTCTCCAGAGATAAAATGCGCAGTTTGCCATACTGGTGTTTGAAAGTTAATTCCTAAATTATAATACACACTCCCAAGATTAGGATGCCTTATGGAATGGTGTTGACAATATCAAAACCCAGTAGTAAGAAAAGATTCCATTCCCTACTGACTTAACATCTCTTAAATAAGGTGCAGCCCCTGTTGAGGCTCAACTCTGAGAACTAATGGAGGTTTCTGCTTGCTCACTTAGGACTGTCCCCAGCTTGTGCCCACTGAGGAGATTCTAATCCCAGTTGGAGAAGTGAAACCAATTACCCTCAAGGCCCGTAACCTTCCCCAGCCCCAGTCTGGCCAGCGGGGCTATGAGTGCGTGCTCAATATCCAGGGGACTGTACACCGAGTCCCTGCCCTGCGCTTCAACAGTTCCAGCGTGCAGTGCCAAAACAGCTCGGTAAGCAGCTCACACATATGCCAAGACCTTAGATCATGTAGGATCACAGGCAGTACCCACATTACCAGGGACAGAGAAACATGTAAGCACCCTGAGCCAGTGAGCTATGTTCTCAGAGTAAAGAACCTTAAGGCAGAAGTTAAAATTTGGAGGTTCCTTCTGAAGTTAAGGAACACATTTTTGTCATGGGTGAAACTTCTGCCAAAAGGATTCAACCCCACCCAATACCCTATTCCCATGCAGTGTGTGAAGACACTGGCAGGCATCACTAGGATGAGGATAGACAGAAAGGTATGGGAGGAGAGAAAGGAGATGCAGCATTTCAGGAGCCATAAGGGTTAAACCTGCCCAAATGGTGGACAGAAATCACGAGGTGTTTAATTATAATTCCAGCCTGGAGAAGATCTTTTTATCTGCCAACTCCCTGTCTCTGACTGTGGAGTGGGGGGAGGGGGCAGCTCAGAGATGAGGGACATGACAAAGGTGTTAAGGGAAGCTAATTCACTGGGAGAGATAAAGAGAATCTGGGCCTCTTATCAGGAAGCTGTCAGATTCTGGGGTCACAAGCGTTTGATAGAATTTGTAATCGGTGCCAAGTGTGCAGGAAGCCAGACTGAGAAAGAGAACACAACAAAGGAAGAAGGCAATGGGAGGCTGGGCAGGAGACCAATGATGACATGCCCTCCAGAACTAAGTGACCATGGCTGGAAATGGGCAGCCATAAAGAGGGACTGCCCAGGAGACTTAACAGGGTGCAGAAGGTACTGGGCCACCCAGGAGGTTGAGAAAGAAGGTCCTCTGTGAGATCAGAGGAAGAGAAGACTCAGCCTCAGCCTCTCTAGGGATTTTTTTTTTTTTTTTTTTTTTTTTTTGTGAGCACCTTCTTTATTAGACACTAATCCAAGTAAAACCTATCTGCAGAGTGAGAGGAGGAGGCTGGAGAGACAACACAAGTCATCAGATTGCCTGCCACCACCCAAGCTTAAGGAACTGAATTTGGATTCCCCATACCCACATAAAAATGCTGGTCACAAAGACTCACAACTATAATCCCAGTGCTGGCGCTGGAATGGTGGAGGGTCACTGGATCCCATTGAGCAGACAGTCTAGCAAAATCTATGAACTCCAGCTCAATCTCAGGAAGACACCCAGCCTCAACCTCTGGCCTCCATATGTATAATGTCCATAAACACACACTTGTGCACACATCAAAAACTCACCACATACACCCAAGACACCAACCAGCCACTCCACAACTGTTGCCACTTGTCATGTCATAGGCTCTGGGTGTGAGAGAACAGTGAGAACATTAACTTTGAGTCCCCAAAAGTGGACTCTGGAGAGAATAAAAGCACCTGTGAAATAATGCATTGTAGTTCCTGGAAAGTGCCAGACTAAAGAAAGAAATGGCAATGAGTTAGGGTTAGAGTTAGGGTCTCTTTGGGCAGCATGAAGAGTTGCTTTGAACTCTAGCTTCCTATGACAGAGAGCCTTGAGAGATTTGTGCTCCTGTCCTCTCCCTGTAGTACCAGTATGATGGGATGGACATCAGCAACCTAGCAGTGGACTTTGCTGTGGTATGGAATGGCAACTTCATCATTGACAACCCTCAGGACCTGAAAGGTAAGTAGCTGCTTCCAGGTGCAAGTTTGATCTTTTCATGACCTTGGAAAGGCTGGGGTTGGAGAGATCAGAGCAGGCTGCTGCTGTGCCTTGAATAGCATACTCCCTCTGCCAACAGAGCCCTTCAGAGACTCCTAAAGCAACATTTGAAACCATCAAAGGAGTCCTGTTGGGAGCCCTGTTTTATTACAGCCAGAGCATCTGCCATGCGGCTGCCTGTTCTTCTGCACTGTTCCCTGGCTCCTGGTAGCTTTGAAGTATCTGTGGAACCCAACCTAGGAGAACAGCAGGCAGCATCCTTCCAACTTCCCTAGAAATGGAGATACTGCTTTCATGCTGGCTTCCCTTCCCCTGTTCTCATCCCTGGTCACTGTCACAGCACAAGGAAGGCTTGTAAGTCTATGCTGTAGTCCTGAGACTGGTAGGGGATTCCTGTGCTAACTCAGGCTCACATCTGGAGCAAAGAATCTCAGTAAGTGGGGCTGGGTTAGGGCAAGAGGGAAACTCTGAGGCTCCTGACCTGTAAGCTCTCAGTGCACTCATCCATAAAGCAGGTTCTGGCAGGCCCACCCTCAGGGCAGCCCTTCAGAATGCCCATCTACTGAACATGTGTCATAAGGCATTCATTATGCAATTCACTTGAATTGGTTTTATTACTTATCTCAGTAACTCTAAATGTACCATCCTATAGATGGTAAAGCTGAGTCATATAGTAAGTGCTGAGACAGTCTGGTTTCAAATAAGGCATTCAAGTTAGTATTCACCAAGATGAGGACCTGTTGCCACTGCTGCTGGGCTCTGAATGGGATTTGAAGCACTTACCCCAGGAGCCATATTCACTATTATGCTTCAAGTAAATGGAATTGTCATAGCCTCTGCTTTAACCCCTGGGCACTAGTAGGGCAGTTAAGGGAAGGGCAGCATCTGTAGGAGTTTCAGCATCTATGGAATACAGCTTCTTGTCCTGAGTACAGCATTAAAGTCAATGCAGCCTACATTGCAAGACAGACTTGCATATGGGTAGTTGGGTTTGCTTGCTGCTAGACTAGATCTTTTTCATCACTAGAAGATATAATTTCCTTGCCAAGTTAGATCAACTAAATCCCAGAGATTACACCAGAACCTGGGGGAAAATGGGCATTTCCAGACTATTACCTCAGACTCTCCTGACATCTACATGGCTCTGTAGGTACTCAAGCAGCCTCCTCATGCTTTCACATGTGTGTCTACTAGATTCTTAGTGGCAGAGAAAGCTGTGTGTAAGTACTCAGATTCCCAAAATCAGCAAACCAAATTCCACTGCTAGTGCTTTTACTTGAACCATGCAGGTTTAAACTACATCCTAGCGTCTTCACACAGGCCCTAGAGGAAAGGACGTCAGCTGCTTAAGGTCTTGCTGAGGATTTTCAGAGATCATGGCTAAAAACCACATGATCCAGACTTATACGTGCCTCACAAGTACTTGCTCAATTTCAGATTCCTTTTGCCTGTCCTGTACTTTTAGGACCACAGGCACCAGTACTTGGGACTTACGGTGCTGAATGGTCTATGAAGCTAGGACAGAGAAGCTGGATGGAACAGAGGTTTCAGGGAGTGTTTCTCCCCTGGAGCACGCACCTGACCTCCAGTAAAGGCACAAAGACAGAGCATGAAAGCGTAGGACAGCTTGGCTGGAAAAGATGAAAAGTGACTTTCTCAGTCATTGCTCAGTATCCACCATGACATTCTTTCTAGGAACCTTCAGAATACTAGTGGCATAGTATTTACACTTAACTACAAATATCTAAATCATCTCTAGATGACTTACAATGTATAATTGAACATAAATGTGGGTAAGAGAGTTGTATATGCTAGTTATTAAGTAATGATAAAAAATGTCAGTCTATTCCTGTACAGATGTATCTCCTTTTAGAAGCTGAATCCATGAGCTGATTACAATGCATCTGGAGTATTCACTCTGAATTCCCAGTACTAACAAGGAAGGACCAAACCCTGAGTTCATGCCACAACTATGATTGATAGCTAGTTCCTCTAGGGCCTCCACATCAGTCAGAGAAAAATCAAAGCAAAAGGTTTGCAGAGTGGTCATGTGATCTATCAAGAACAAGTTTGTCCTCTCTGGGTATACATTCTTCTACAATGGCTGTGAATAGGACTGTATCATGCTTTCCTTGCTAGCATGCTTCCTACTTTAGCCACCTGGACTTTATTTAAGCACAGCTGACTCTGTTCCCCCACACACAAAATTTCCAGGGTGCCAACTGAGATTCCTTTCTTAAGGGACCCACCATCAGCAGCAGAGCAAGCTTCACATCAGGATTCAGGCTTGAGACTGGTACCCATAATAAACTGTGAGAGTCAATATGTCTCTTTGGGGCTTCATTTTTACTTGCAATGAAGAAATGAGCCCACATCTCTCATTTGAAAGAGACGGCAGCTTAAGAATATTGTTAGAGTTCAAAGGAAAAATAATATGTGTGTATATAGCATCTAATATATCACAGTCATTGCTAAGTACTCGCTGTACAACATCTCATCCAAATCTGCCCTAAACCAACTATTATCTGCATGTTAGAGATGGGCAAACAAGATTCAGAGAAGTTAAATAATTTGTCAGACTGCTAGGAAGTAGGGAAACCACAGTTAAAGCAGGGATATAATTCAGTCTAAAAGCAGGGACCTTTAACACATTGTTTTCTGCTATACCTCTAGATGACTGCCTAGTCACCTTATTCACTCTCCATGTTTTACTTGTGCAATGTACCTGATGCTGCCTATGGTTGGGGCAGATCTGTTGCACCTACAAACAGAGGGTATATGGTGAGCTTCTTGCATCCTATCCATGACAGCCCCCTCTCTTTGCAGTACATCTCTACAAGTGTGCAGCCCAGCGGGAAAGCTGTGGCCTATGCCTCAAGGCTGACCACAAGTTCGAGTGTGGCTGGTGCAGTGATGAGCGCAGATGTACCCTCCACCAACACTGTCCCAGCACTTCTAGTCCTTGGCTCGATTGGTCCAGCCACAATGTCAAATGCTCCAACCCCCAAATTACAGAGGTAAGTCTCCCACTTCCAGAAGAGAAAGGGCCAGCCAGGAACATAGGAAAAAATGTACTTGTGGATGAAATACTGAAGGGGGTATATTTGGTGGAGAGATATGGAAGGCCGTGCGTGTGTGTATGTGTGTGTGGTGTGTGTGTGGTGTGTGTGGTGTGTGTGTGTGTGTGTGTGTGTGTGTGTGTGTGTGTGAATGGTCTAGGAATGGATATGAGTGACAGGAGTATGGGGCATGCCACAATGCAGTGCACGATGCATATACATGTTTGCATACCCATATATATGAGGGAGGCATAGCCAGGTAGGGATGAGACATTGATGCCATGGTAAAGGAACGTTTCAGAAAGCAGCTTTGGCTTTTCTCAGCAGAGATGCTGGGGAACTACAATTAGTTCAGAGGTACAAAATTGGAAACTGAAGTAGACAGACCATATTTTAGCCGCATATTATTTCTCACGATTTTTTCTTGGTCCCAGTTTGTTTTGTGCTTTTTTTCATGGGAGTAAATAAAGTAATTAATTATATTAGAAAAAATATTTCCAAAATAGAAAATTGCAAAGGAAGATAAAGTGGTTATATGGAGAAATATATGCTTGGGTGTGAGTGGTCTGGAGAGGCACAGTTGTATTTAAACTGTGGTTGCTGTCAACTGTTTCCCAGTCAACAATTGTTACCTTTTCCTTTGAATCTAAATTGTGCATTCTCCATTAACAGCAAGTGCCTTGCCAGGTTCCATGGTGATCTGCAGAGCTTATGATTTCAAAGAGAAACTATTCCTGTGTTCATCTTTCCTGAGCTGATGCAGCATCCCTGTCTTTGCATCATTTCCCCCAAAGCCATGTTCCTTTTTCCTGCATCATGTAATAGTAGGAAACGTATTGAATTTTTTTCTGGTGCAATGAGAGTGCCTCAGTTCAGTTTAAGGAAAACGAAAAGCTCAATATCATGGAATGTTGTAGTCTTCAAAGGAACTGTTTGAGCAGGGAGCAGATGTTTATTTAGCATGCTTAGTTACAATATATTTATAATTCTTATAGCAACTGTACAAAGCTAAGTTTTCTCAGCTCCATTTCATGGAGGAGCAAAATGAGTCTCAAATTCACACAGCAGCTAAAAAGCAGCACCAGCATTTAGCTCAGATTTCATTACAAAGTTACTTTTGAATTCTTCATGATTTACCAAAGGAGTATATAGTTAGTGCTGCTTCACTTTAATATCCATTCAATTGCTAGTATAGGCCAGATAGATGTGAACCACCCTCACATGAGGGGACACTGTGTCAAGTGCTCCAACCCCCCAAATCACCAAGGTGAGGCCCCAAAGTTCCAGAGAAGTTGAACACAAGACCATGGGAAGGATGTACAGAGTGCCACTGTTTTGTACATGAGTCTCTGCGGAGAAAAATGCAGTTGATATGGACAGAGAAAATGACTGCATCATGGTGCTGTTCTGTGACAGGATATGCTTAGACAGATGTAGACTCTGACCCCAAACAGGGAATGGCTTCAGTACTAGCTTACATTCAGATGTGGCCAGTGACCATGCCTGCTGATTTTTTTTTTTTTTTTTGATTGAAGAAAATGTAGAGGGCAGACATACTGGCATGCCTCTGCCCTCCTATAGCTAGCATCTTAATGTCTTTGAAGCTCTGTGCTTTATCTGTTCTAGTGGTTTCTGGCAACTTCCAGCCTGAAAACTTTTACTGTCCCATGTTTTGCAACATGTCTTTCTGCTGTCAATACCTGTGGTGTACGGAGCTCAAATCAGGAGAGATTCTGACATCCACAAGCATTTCCTACCTCCACAGGCTCTGGGACTGCAAAGCCTTGTGTCTGCTCTCAGTTTGGCTAGAGCCTCTATAAGCCCTAAACCTAGCGGCTCACAGGGAAGCCTCTGCCTCTACCACCTACCCTGTTCACAGAGTGAGAATTGACAGGCTGCTGGGTTCACAGAGGACACCCAAATTACAGGAAGCTAATTAACCTCCTGAGGTAATTAGGCTATAATTGATTTTTTCAATAAATATATCAGCAAAAGAAGGTGTTCTAAGACTCCTAAAGGTAATTTTCATGTTGAGGATGTTGAGATATAAAAAGGCATCTTTGGGAGAAACAAACCTGTGCTGTGCTCCAAATCTACTCAGGGACATCACTCTAGATAGGACAGATAGCAGCTGGTACACAGGCCTGGAATGACTACACTGTTATCTGTCCTGTTTTCTTTGATGTTATATCCCTTACCCCCAGAAGACCTTCCTTCACCTTTAAGTTATTTTCTGTTTCTCCTAACATGGCATTTATGAAATAATTTCATATTTATAAAAATGCAAAATACTACAAAGAACATTCATACGTCTTTACCCAGGTTTTTCAAAGTTATTATCTTACAGAAGCATAATGTTATCAGTTAATGTTGCTCCAGTGATGTCATCTGAAATACATTCTTATTAGCATTTTCCAAATTGTCACAAAGACATCCTGTGGTTCAAAATTCGATCTAAGGTCTAATCTGGGAGCCAGTATGATGTTCTAATATGATACTGTCTTGTCTTTTTAATCTATAGTCCTAATAATGCCCTTTAGTGACCTTCATGATGTTAAAGAGTGTAGGCCTGTAACATGGAAAATAAAAAGATCTGGAGACAGGTATTGGGGTTCAAGCTTCAAGCTGAAGATCAGAAAATCAAAGCAGCCAAGCCAATAGATCTTACCTTTACCTAGCTGAAATGGCAATCTTGTCTCCATGAATCCTCAGAGGCAAAAGGCTCTTAATTCCTGTATCCTCTCCCTTTGATTCCTTTCTCTGCCCAACCATATCACTCCTGTCTCTATCTCCTTAGTGCTGGGATGAAAGACATGTGATCCTAAATACTGAGATCACCTTTGTGTGAGCTGTTTTTTTAGGACTGGATCAATTTCATATAGTCAATGTGGCCTTGAACTAACAGAGATCTGTCTACCTCATAAAGGTGTGTACCACCACCACCTAGCTCTTTGGCTGCTGGGATTAAAGACATGTATCATCACTTCCTGACCTCTATAGCTTGTGGCTGACTTTGCTTTCTGAATTCTCAGGCAAGCCTTAATAAACCATAAATAATATATCACCACATAAGTCAGTTATGTTGTCAGTGTCCCTCAATTAAGATATACCTAATGTTTCCTCATGGTTTGATTCAGGCTGGATACTTTGGCAAGAGCCATTAAAAGAAAAAGAGCACAGAAACCAACCTGAAGGAAATAAGAATCCACAGTTCTTATTGATGGTGAACAGACAAACATTTAATAGGAGGGGAGATGTATCTTCACACTAGATCCCCAATTAATAAAAATAAAAAGAATTATAGAAAAAGAAAGTAACCTTTTTAATGTGCATAGCTGTAACTGTTTCAGGCATGGATGGACCTTAGATGAAAAGATAAGGTGAAAGTTGATGAAATATAGGATACTTAAACAATCTTGAGCTATCTTTGTGTAAGATCATTAATTGCAATGGGAATTAATTAACAGAAGCTTCTCGATGAAGAAAAGTAGCCAGTCCTCCCCAAAGCCTACCCCCCCCAAAAAATAGTTTTCACATCACCAAAATAACCCTGAAGACCTCCTGATAAAATACCCCCTCCTAAAAGAGTACAATCTCATTTATTTGGCATTATTTTTGCAAGAATAAATAATGTGTTCAAGGTAATCTTTAAGAAGAATCAGTTCATTTTCTTCAACTTTCTTGGATAATCCCTGTGTGCTGGCATAGCTCTTTTTTAAAAATCTCATAATTATGGGTCTTCTATGTACTGATAATCTTTATTCATATCCTCCCTTATCTTCATAAAATATGCTATCCTCAGTAATACCACTGAGGGTAGCCAACTCAATCCACTAACTATATGATCCTTCTAGAACTGAGAGGAAAAAGGGATCTGTGTTGGTCTATGTCCAACCATGAAAACAGTATGGCTTCAAGTGGTGCTATTCTGCCTATGAACAGAGAAATAAATGAGATAACCTCAAAGATGCTCCACTGTAAAGAACTGGACTCATGAGCAGTTACATGAATCCTTCCCTAACTCTCCTTTTCCTACTATCGCCATAGCAACAAGGGATATCCTAAAGATCCATCTGTTATAGATTCTCCATGCAAGACAAGTTGTACAGCCTATTGAACTTCCCAGTTTGCATATACAGGTTAGGACCACCTCACTGTCTGCTCCTTCTCACCAACTCATGACATTATAACAATGCTATCCCCATGGAAGGACCCACAAGGTTGCTTTTGTTTCCAGCTGTCACCCAGGATTTTGTGCACATCTCATCTGTTAACCCTTGGAATAGATGTATTGAGTACTGGAAAGCCTACCATGCCTACCCAATTATGCCTATATTATTCCCAGCCTGGGCCTCAGAACCTACTGTGACCTCAGTGATGAAACTATTAGGAGTCCCCCAACTAGAGATATGTTCTAAGAAGCTCTAAGTAGTCAGAAGAAAAGGAAAAGAGACAGAATGTGCTCTCAGGAAAAGAAACTGGAAGATTTAAAAGGGCTCTGAAACAAATGCAGTGAAAGTCCCCACACTGGTCTCTGCTTTTAGTTTCCTAGGATAGACAAGGTGGTTTACATAACAGAAATGTATTTTCCAAGATGTCTGAAAGCTACCAATCCAAAATCAAGGTATGGAAAGGTCTGAGTTCCTGAGAGGGCTATGAGGGAAAATCTGCAGCAGGCCTCTCTTCTAGATACTGGTGCTTCGATGACACCCTGGCTTGTAGATTTGTCACATGATGACATTCTCTCTATGTATCCTTAGTGGTGCTAGGAATTATAACTTGGACATATAAAGGTAAGGATTCAGCCCATCAAAATGAGAATTCTAATAAAGAAGGTCACAGCTCACTGAAAAATAAATTCTCTCATTAAATAATATTTAGTTGGTTACCACTGAATGCCAGACATTACGCTTGAGTTGGAAGTTGCTACAGGATTGACTGAGAACCTGGAAAGACAC